ACACATCAATGTATCATCACGAGCCGCAGGGTTTCATTTGGTTTTGTTTGTGTATGTTTTTTTTACTCTCAAAGCCGTGGAGCCCATTCACTGACATTATATTACTGACAGACTGCAACAGTTTGAGTTAAAAGTCTTCGTTTGTGTTCTACACTGTCACCTACATCTTGGATGCCCTGGGGGTAAGCAGATAAACATCACATTTTCATTTTTAGGTGAACTATTCCTTTAATATATATAAAATTCACAGTTTTTAAAGAGGGAAGTCATATTAGTTACATCTATCACAATTCACTGAAGTGAATTTAAAATTATTTAGGTTAGAAGGTGTTCATATTTCCAGACTCAAATGTAAATGTTGCAAACAATGCATTTTTTTTCTTGGAAATATTGTTGTATTATTTTATCTTTTTAAAGCATTGTAAACTTATCCATCCTGTTAGTCTTTTGTAATATTTCTTTAACTAACAAAAGCCAGTTCCCATATGACATGATCCTCCAGGAAGTGACATCATTTTGGAGGGAGGGGAAACAACATCACAAGTAAGCAATGGATTAATGAATTCTTTGAAGATTTGTGGGTCTCTGATTTGGAGGACAAACTGAATGATCAGGATCGATACTGTCGGAGATGGAATCTTCGTTTAGAGGGGTTGACTGAACGTATAATAATCTTTGAAGATTTGTGGTATTAGTTGATTTGTCTCACTTTAAAACATTCCATCTGTTTAAAAAAAAATAAAAATGTAAGAAACATCCTCAACATTAGTTTTAAAATGTCATAATTCTTCGTGAAAAGTTCATTACTCGGGTAAGCTACCATGGCTAATTTTGTTAGCTCTTTATTTCTACCGTTCATTTTCTTGCCATAAAAATAAAGTGCTGATTTATTTACTTATACATTAAATTACATTTTATTTTACACAAGATATTAACCAAAACATTAGCAGATAATCAGTATGACAGACAAAAATGTGATGTACACAACTTAGCTGAAATCTCAATTTACACAATAGTTAACATATAATAATAATAATTACAAAAATATTTTAATATTATAACAATAATAACAATTATAATTATCAAAACATCTCTGCAATTATTATTGAGTTAATATTATTTTTATTACTATTGACAGATATATACTATAAATAAAATATTAATATTATTACTTCTACTACTACTACATATCTGCAATCTGTGCATGACACGCGTGTTATGTATGCGGCAGCAGAGGCGCACTATGCGCGTGTTTATGTTGGGGTGGTTGTGCATCACGCATTGCATGAGCTTTCATTCTCTGAAACACCGCAGGACCGTTTCCTAATTGCGCTGGCACGGATGCTATTCTTGTTTTATGTGTCTCTCCTCCTCCGCAGCTTTTCTTGCTGTTGCGCTCGTTCTCTCTCCCTCCTCTTCTCTGGGTCCGATCTCTCGCTTTCTCTCTGATCTCTACGGTGACCGAGAAGTGCACTTTGCACTTCTCGGCCACCGTAGATCTCTGAACTAATCCTCCTGCTCTTCATCGCTGGTAATCAGTATCTGGACGCAACCGCAGCCCTTGTTGCAGTGTTTGCGAGGAAGGACTGCATTGATATTCATCAAACGTTCTGGTGTTCCAAACAAACATCGGCAGTAGTTCAGCCCGAGCTGCTTAACTCAGGATGTGTTTACATCTGGTAATATCACCCATCTCGGGTGATCCGATCACAGCTGTAATAACTGAACTTTGGATGTGCTTCCATGATCTGCGTCATGCTTTGATGTTACACATACAGGCGGCTTTTCCAGATTTAAAATGTCAACTTTTTGTTTTTAATTCAAGAGAATCTCTTATTGACTGCAAAGGCTTCATTGCAACATTTGCATTAGTGTCCTTTTCCATCTATTTGCTTACTGAAATTATTGGTCTTGCCTTTTTTTTTTTTTTTTTCACCTAGTCAGTTACT